CCTGGAACTTTCTGAGATCCTCCTGCTTTTGCCTCCCAAGTATTGGAATTAAAGGCCTGTGACTCCCAGGTCTTTTTTTAATTATTATTATTATTATTTTTTTAAGGGATGTCAAATGTGCACACAATTGAAAAAAAAAAAAACTTTGATTTAGTAGGGTCCTGTCTCCGTGGAAATAAGTGAACGCGAACAGACAACCTCTCTGGCTAGGTTAACTTTGACCTCAGTTAACTTTGGCCTCCATTTAAAGATATAGGTAAGTGATTTGGTGGACACAGGCTTGGAAAAGACCTGGGTGTGGCTCAGAGGGGAGAACACTCGCCTATCTCGTGCAAGGCCCTGGGCTCCAACTCCAGCTCTTCAGAGAATAAAAGAGTTGAAAATGAGCCAGGACAAGGACTCAGAGCTGACACACCCACCGGCAGTTGGACAAGTGTAGAGTTTGGGCCTGCAGCTGCTGGGGGAAGGGCTCCCAGCGCTGAGGGCTCTGCAGTAGGAGGCGGCAAGGGTCACGTCAGGGATGACAGGGACAAGGAGGCTGCTGGAACTGAGGGTTGACGAAGGGACAGGACATTATCTTCTGGGTGGAGGGAACAAAATGTGCACCTTTGCCTGTTCAGGGAGGGAGTCAGGCCTAGGGACAGAGCCTGGGAGTGTGAAGGGGAGTGGCAGAGACGGGCCCAGAGGATTGCCGCAGTCTGGGAAATACACAGGACAGAAAGGAATCACTGACCCCTGTTAGCCAATGACCGTAGGTGACTGTATCTGGGCAGAGCTACTACCCATAGTAGTTGAGACTTCCCGGATAGTTTGGACTGATGGACTCTGGGGGCACGTGGCAGATTCCTAGAAAGAATTTGGGGAGGGGGTGGAGGAGGGCAGAGAGTGTTTAGAGCAAAGAGACCCCAGCAGCATTCCCGTGTGTTGCTGTGGAATAATCTTTTTGTACACTGTGAATACATATGTCACTCTGATTGGTTTCATGAAACACTGTGAATACATATATATCACTCTGATTGGTTTCATGAAACACTGAATGCCCAATAGCTAGGGGTGATTTTCGGGGCAGAGAGAACTCTGGGAAGAAGAAGGGCGGAGATGCCATGAGAGGCAGATCAAGCAGGATGGGCAATATGGAGAAGAGGTGATATAACACAGCCACGAGGCAGAAAGTGAATAGAAATGGGTTAAGTTAGAAGAACTAGTTAGAAACAAGCCTATGGGCTGAGCTTTCTTAATAAGCCCCCATGTTGTTTATTTGGGAACTGGCTGGTGGGACAGAAAAATCCCCCTACAGCATACCTTTTCCCAAAGACCCAGATTCTAAGTATGCTGAGCAAGCAAGCGACCACCAAGTTAGCCTCCAGGCCTCTAGAAGTACTTTTATTTATTTGTTTGTTTGTTTATATATTTGTGGTTTTTGGAGACCGATTTCTCTGTGTAGCCCTAGCTATCCTGGAACTTGCTTTGTAGAGCAGGCTGGCCTGTGCCTCCTAGTGCTGGGATTAAAGGTGTGTGCCATCACCGCTCAGCTACTAGAAGCCCTTTTAAAAACCTCTGCTCCATGTCGGCATTTTATTTTGCCAAGCATAGTCTCCCTTTTGGCATCAGAAAACTCAGGCATTGTGAATGGCTGTAGACAAGAGACACCGAAAGACCCCCAGTGCTGGGGAGACTCTCACTCAAGTCTCAGGATAACACGACCCCCCCAGTAACTCACGAGAGACCGTCCTTGCTGCAATCACACGAGGCTTTAATGATGAGATGACACGGGAACCAGTGCACTGGGGCCGAGACTCATAACCCACGCAGGGGAAGAGTTCGACCCCGAGTGACCGGGAGAAGTGATTTTAAGGGAAGAAACCACAGCCCAGTGATCAGGAATTAGCAGGGAGTGTGTCACAGAAAATTTTAAAAATACCAGTGAAGATTACAACGGGGCAATACCGACCTCTCAGGACCACTCCCAAGGTCATAATCAGCTAGTTCCTAAAATCACAAGGGGGGAAACTCAAGATTACCCCCAAGACTACAATCTAACTTTATCTTCAGCTAGCTCCTGAAACACGGTCACTAAACCGGCTAATGCTAGATTCCTGATTCTTCTCTTCCTGGTTAGATTTTTGGCTATTTTCTTCCAGCTGGGGAGGTCTGGATTTACCTAGGTCTTTCAACACCTTTATGAGTGAGACCACATTCTGACTTCTCTGTGTGTGGAAGAGGCAGACCAGAGGTGTCAAGTCTTGCCTGAGGTGATCAGAGGAAGCCACAGGTGGAGGAGGCACTAGGACCTAGGATACCATGTTTGGTGAAACCTTGATGGTGACCAGGACAGACAGGTTTCTGGAACACAAGGATGTGCAAACCATGAGAAATTACACAGGACAACATCCTCCAGTGTTAGCTAGGGATAAAGTCAGTGGCAAGGCGGAGGAGCCAGATGGTGGACTGTCCTACATACCACGTTAGGGAGAGCGGTATGACAGGGAACACTGCTAACCTGAGGAGCCGTGTGAACACACCTGGGCTACGTGTCCCCGTGGAGGATGCAGGTACACAGAGCAGTTTGTGGTCTGAACAAAAGACAGAAGAATGAAGGATGAGGACTGAAATGGAAAGCTAGCCTTATGAGGAATTCCGATTTTAAAAATAAGAGGGTTTTTGATCTTTAGCAGATAGGCAAGAACAGAGAGCAAAGTCCCTGGCGGCTCCTGACAAGACGCTAGAGGCCTGCACTGTGGTCTGGAGCACAACGGGACTTGCTGGCTCTACTCCAGACATGAGTGTTCTCGTGATGATGGGTTTTCACACTTTTTAATCAGTTAAGCCCCAGTTGTATGTTTAATCTCAGTCTTTCCCTTCTCTACCTGCCCCCAACACACAGGAGAATAACCTTCCCATTATAAACTGAAATTAATGATTTATGCTTATAAACACACTGGATACCTGCCTGGTTTCTTTGCTTTTTGAACAATACGATAATACATTCGAGTAGAAATTCACAGGTGCCAAAGCAAACATAATTTTGAGGTAAATGCCCTTTCCCCAACTGTTGTCTGATTAATATTGTTCTAAACCATAGTGTGACCTTGTCATTATTCAGGGATCCAAAAACCCCATCCCTTGTGCATCTGTCAGGGGAGGTTTGTACTAACAGGCCCCCCATCTGACCTTTAAATCTCCTCCCGCTGCTGTGGTGACTTCCTCTACCAGCCCACATTCCTTCTGCTCATCCTCTGTGACCCAGTTCCAACACCATCATCCCTGGTTCCCTCTCAAGGGGAAAAGCCCTCCTCTTACTTTGGCTTTGGAGGCTTCGATTTTGTTCTCTATCAGACTGAACTCCCTTAGAGACCCCTGAGCAGGTGCCTACCTCCTCAAAGGGGTGTCCCCTCAAAGGGGAAGCTATCAGTGTGATCCAACATAAAATGACATATTTTAAGAACTGAGGGTTGGGTGCTGGAGAGGTCATGGTTAAGAACATGTACTGTCTCACAGAAGACCTGACTGTGGCGCCCACACGGGACCACCCAGCCATCTGTAATTCCTGCGCCAAGGAACCCAAAGCCCTATTCTGGCTTCCTGGACACCTATACACATGCACTAACATTAAACCTATTGGAAAAAATGTTTTGTAATGTTTTTACGTTTATAGATCCGATTGAGTGATTGTCTATGTGAACTTTGTGTACGATAAAGATGCTTTGCAACACCAAAAGTTTGACATGCCTGTTTGCTGACGCAGGGAGGCGTGGTTTCCGAGGGGAGGTGTGGTCTTCCACATTTTCCGAACAAGTAAACACTGGGCAGACTGGGGACGTCCGCCTAGAGACGATCCTTAACGGTGGAATTACCCCAATCATATGTGGCCGGCACGTCACGCATCTACGAGTCTGCCAAAGAGCCTCCCCCAAGCAGGGTGACCTCTTCTTTTCGGTCAAATTCTCACATTTGTCGTCATCGGCCCTGTACAAATCTGAACCTTTGCACGAATGTCACAACACCGAGGAACACATTCACCGAAGAGATGAGTAACTTGCCCAAAGACACTCAAGAAGTGCCAGGGCTATAATTCCGACCTGGGTCTCCATTAACGCGTGCCATGTGCGCTATCCAAGACCCCACAAACTGTGAGCTTCTAAGGAAAAGGCGGCTGCGTATGCCCTCAAGCAGACACGGGTGTCCTGTGGAGTGCGGTGACAAAGAGCTCTCCACCAAGCTTTGAGAACACTGAGCCTTCACGCACGCGCTATCTACATCCTTGGGTCTCCAGGAACTCGACAGGCCCCACGCTAGAGGACGCGCTGGCTGTTTATGGCACAGCGAGGCCACCGTACAGCCTCGGATCACAGTGAGGGGACTGGTGGCACCCCACAACCTGGTGGCAGGAGTGACAGAGTCGCTATCGGGCCCGAGGCAGCACAGGGCAGCCCCAGCGGCCGCCACCCTCGGAGCGAGGCGGGGTCCTGATCACGTGATCCGACGACGCTGCTTCTCCCCCGCCCCTGCCTGGGTCGGGCCTGGTCTGCGCCTGCGCGGGCGCGGGCTCGCTCGCTCGCCGGCCGTCCAGCGGGCGGGCGCCCGCGGCCGTGGGTGAGTCCCGGGTGGGGTGGGGAGCGGCGGCCCATGTGCCCCGGCTTCTGGAGAGACAGGCGGGAGGCTTGAAGCGGGGCCGAGCGAGCTCCCTCGTCCTGCTCGCGCATCGCGCCCGGGTATCCGGCGGCTCCGGCCCAGGGCCCTGTCGTGCTGCGCGCGGAGCGCTCGGGCCGGGAGGCGCCCGCAGCCTGGGGCGGGGAGCCGCAGGCCCCGGAGGGAATCGGCCTTTGTCTGCGCCCCCACGAGTCGCGGCGACCCGTGGTTCCCCGTGGTGCTGGCGATCCCGCCCAGCGCCTTCCGGTCCTCACGGAGTGCGCAGATGGAAGCCTGGAGAATGCTCGTTCCGAGACACCATGTTGCAGCGGCGGGCCGTAAACAGTGGAACTGAGCGGGGCGGGTGGGCGGGCGTCAATTGTTCCATTCTGTCTGGATTGTTAGTGTCAAGTTTAGGTAGAGGGTGTCAGCCTCAGCCATATTTACGTCTTTTAGCTTAACCTTTGCCTTGGCCCCTACGGGCTGCGCAGCTGGTCCTAGTGCCCACCTTCTGCTGTTGGTTTTTTTTTTTCCCGGTAGTCTGTTGAACAGGCATGCCCAAATGGACCTCCGGGCCTTTGCTTTGAAAGGATTCCTAGAATCGGGTGCAGGGCACACGAGCAGCAGTCCAGAGGCGCCCCTTGTATGAATTCTTGTGACACATCTGACAAGAATTGACTCGAGTCTCCTTTGTCAGATAGAAGGACGCTGAGATGGTGGATTTTCGTCAAAGATGTTGCTTTGTGTTTGCAGTGGCAAAATCCTGCTGTAGCTCATACTTGACCCTCCTAACCTTGTTTTTGAACGCTGACTCAGACCTGCTGACTAGTGGAAGTTCACATCCTCTGAGAATTACAGTCACCCTCTGCCCTGTGTTTGGACAAAGACCTTTGTCCTAAGGTCACAACTGAGTTTTGCATATCCCTTTGGGCTGCAAGTTACTTTGGGGATTTAGAACTTGCGCTGTTTCTTACAGCAGAAAAGTTTGACCCTTGGGTGAAAGTTGACTTTGCTCCCTTACCTGGTGGTGCCTCATACAGCAGACTAGGGCAGTTACAGTAAATAGATTTTGTAGTAAATTACAAAGGATTATCATTTCTGCAGAGTTAAGCAGAAACCAGTTTAGCAGGGTTTGGTCATGTTCAGAGTATAGTAATCAAACATGGCATGTTTTAAATTTTTGAAGAAACATTTGGGGAGGGGAGCGGCTCTGATGTGCCGCTGTGCCCTGGTGGAGCTCAGAGGACTCTCCAGAGTCAGTCTTTGTTCCATTGTGAGTTACTGGGATTGAACTCCGGTCACCAGGCTTGGCAGCAAGCGCCTTTGCCTGATGAGCCTGCTCCCCATTTTCTCAACTCCTAACAGGACGCTGCTGTTGTCTTTCCTTCTGTTGCTGCCTTAAGTCCCTGGGCCTGCACTGCAGAGATGACTGTTAAAGGCTGGACTCACAACCTAGTCATACCACCCTCCACCCTCATGGGTGGGGTGCCGATTACAGGAAGTCAGTCTGAAGTCTGGGATGTTTTCAAAACATTACTTCTTGCCAGGCTTGGTTGTGCTCCCCTTTAATCCTAGCACTCGAAAAATAAACAAAAATTACTTTTTTCTGTATAGAACTTTTAATATTTAATAATATAAATGTTCAACAATATTCCTAAGATTCCTTATGATAGTTTGAAAAGAGGTCCATTAGTAACTGACTTGTAGTCCAGGCTGGCCTTGAACTCAGAGATGACCTGCCTCTGCCTCCCAAGTGCTGGGATTAAAGGTGTGCATCACACCAGGCCAAATGGAGCAATTTTAATTTACAGAATTTTGTTAAGCAACAAAAGGACCAGTTCTATAAAAACAAAAACTAAATGTGGCCTTTGTTTTGCGGTGTTGAGAGGATTGAACACACAGTAGGTAAGCATTCTTGCCGAACATCTCCAGACACGAACAAAGTTTTTATTGTTGAAGTGCACCGATAAATTGAGTTTGTTCAGGACCATAGGTGTGAGCAGCTAGTCGGTGCCAGCTCAAGAACTTAAAGTCTGTATTGTTAGCTGTTTGTGGTGGCAAATGCTGGCCGCCCTCTGCTACGTACAGAACTCTAGGCAGGCCAGCCTTGGCTAGGGTAAGACCCTGTAAATAAAGTGCTCAGGGAGTAAAACTGAAATAGTCTTTGAATTTAGAAATTGTTAGGATCTTATGTGATTGTGTAAATTTTGTTGATTTGAGGGTTTTGTTTGATTTTTTTTTTTTTTTTTTTTTTTGAGACAGGGTCTCTGTAGTCCTGGCTTTCCTAGAGCTTGATATGTAGACTAGGCTCTGCCTCTGAATGCTGAGAGTTGAGATTAAAGCTTGGGCAACCACGCTTGGGGCTTTTTGTTGACTTTAATGTTAACTATGAAACTAAAAATTTACAAGACATATCAGGCATTTCTGTGCCAGGTTTTAATCTTTAAAATCTTGTACAGTCTAAGATTGGCAAACATGAGCTAGTCTTATATTGTCAAGTGTAGTACTGCTAAGAGTTTTCAGTCAGGTGTGGTGGCACATACCTCTCAGCACTTGGGAGGCAGAGGCAGGCGGATCTGTGTGAGTTGGAGGCCAGCCTGGTCTACATAGAGAGTTCCAGTATAGCTGGAGCTACTTAGAGAGATCCTGTCTCAAAACAAAAACTAGTTTTTAGACGGGCACAGTAGTGCCTATAATTACAGTAGTTAGAGGCTGAGGCAGGAGGATTACGAGTTTATAACTAGGGTGAACCAGACTATAAAGCAAGACCTGGTCTCACACTAACAAAAGTTTTTACCTCATGTCTGTCAACTGGAACCATAAAAGGCATGGATGGTGAAGATCATACAACTAACCGTTACCAGGCTCAGTATTTGGCAGACTTTTCAAGTGCCTATGGGACATTATTTTAAATCCACCATATTAAGTTACAAAGCTCCGTACATTAAAAATGAAAGGGACTGATGGTGCCTCAGAGGTTAAGAACATACACTGTTCATCGAGAGCCTGTGCCTGACTTGGATTCCTAGTGCCCACATCAGGTGGATCAGCCCATAGAACCCTGACTACCAGGGGGCCTGATACCTCTCCAGGTACCTGCACTCGTGCATAGACCCTCGCAAACACACACAAAGTTTAAAAATGAAAAGGAAGTAATATTGTCTCATGCTGTAGAGGTTTGGAGTCACATAGATGTCCAATTTTTTGTTGTGGAACTGGGGAGGTGGGCAAGAGTGTTGGCAGTCAATGAAGAGTTGGTTCTTGGTTGGGTATAGGGACATTAACAACTGGTTACTGTGCTCAAGGAAAGGGGAACAAATACAGTTAGACACGAGTACAGAAATTAAACCAGGTTTTTTTTTTTCTTTTAAGGAAATGCAGCTGTCAATACTGACTCCAGAAGAGAGAAGGTTAACAATGGAGGACGTTGGGAAGGTTACCAGACAGCTGTCGTCAGTGCCAGACTCGGTCGACATCACAGGTGAGTTCTTAGAAACTCTGAAGTACCAAATTGTCCCACAGTGTGATGAAAGACCACGGATTTGCTCTTAGAAAGCCAGTGGAACAGCTCTGGAACTTGATGTAGAAATCAGAAACTGGGGTCTCTGGGGGACAGTGGTGGGAAGTGGAAGGCAGAATACTAACAAGTGGAAGTTGGGAGGTTGGCTTCGTGGCAGAGTCCTAGCTCAGCCCCCTCTGAAAACCAAAACAAAAGATCTTGGCAAATGCTGTTTAGTTAAAGGATATTTGGCCATAGCCAGGAGGGTCATCTCCATGTGCTGAGGCTGGGGCACAGCCTTTGACTGGCAGCAGCTGCTTACAGTGCTTTGACTTTCTCTTCTGTGCAGGGCTAAGCTGAAGTATCAGCCCTACTTTGGCTCTTTTGACTTTTTGATACGTGTTTAATAGGAACTGCACCTTAAATGATTTTCACTGGCTAGTGATCTGAGTGGCGTGTGCTCCTTCACTGACGGCAAGAGCAGTAAGCCACAGCAGCAAGTAGCCAGTACTTGCTAAAATACGGTGTTCGCTAGGTTAGGTGTTCTAACTCTCTTCAGGGACTGGGGGTAAAGCCCAGTGGTTGACCATGTGAATGGCATGCATGAAGCCCTGGGTTTAATCCCCAGCACCAAACATAGATCAATGCATTTCTGACCTATTTTTATCTCATAATGGATTTATGAGGATACAACCTGAGGAACATCTTTACATCAAATAAATACTTCAAAAAAGAACAGGGGGCTGGAGAGATGGCTCAGAGGTTAAGAGCACTGGCTGCTCTTCCAGAGGTCCTGAATTCAATTCCCAGCAACCACATGGTGGCTCACAGCCATCTATGAGATCTGGTGCCCTCTTCTGGCAGGCAGGCATACATGCAGGCAGAACATTGTATACATAATAAAGAAAAACTTAAAGAATTTAAGAGGCTTTTGTTTTTGTTCAAATCAAAGGCCTAGATAGTTTGTCTGACCAGTTTAATTTCCCATGGACGCTGTGCAGTGTGGCTTAGGTTTGTACTTACCACCTCTGCTGTGAGCATGGGTTACACCCCTGCAGCTGAGATGCCAACCCGTTGGCAGTTCTGTGTGGAATTTACCAAGAGCCCCTGTGCTGTTGTCCGTCGCTCGACCATTTTACAGTCCCATTAATAGTGCACCAGAGAGCCTATGTCACAGCCCCTCTAGTGCTGTGTTTGTTATTGCTGGGGTTTGTTGCCTTTTTTAAAAGGTGTATTTGTGTTTACGAGCATGCATGTGCCCTGATGTGCCTGGGGAGGTCAGAGAACAACTTCTGGGAATTAGTTCTCTCCTTCCACTTTGTTTCTGAGGTGTGGTTGTCCAGCTACTCCAGGCAGCTTCTCTTTTCAGTGTCCAAAATAGTGGTTCTCACCCTGTGGTTACAACCCTCTGGGGGTCAAACGACCCTTTCTCAAGGGTTAAATATGAGATATCCTACATATCAGATATTTACATTATAATTCATAACTAGCAAAATTACAGTTATGAAGTAGCAATGAAATAATTTTATGGTTGGGGGTCACCACATGAGGAAAACTTTAATATGAGGAACCACATTAAAAGTGGTTCTCAGCCTTAGGGAGGTTGAGAACCACTGTCCCAGTGGATTCTTCTGCCCCTGTCTCAAGTCCTTAGCTCACTTTTAAATTGGATTATTTTCTATTTTGCTGCTGATTTGTTAAATGTGGTCTCTTATATAAGAGAAGTAATCTACTTATAAATATAAGGGCCTTTGAGAGGTGGCTCCATGGTTAAGAGTGTTTGCCACCCTTTTAGAGAGCAGCCCCCAGTTCCCATGTTGGGGGTTCACAACGACCTCTGACTCCAGTTCCAGGGGATGATCCGACACACTCTGCTGGCCTTCCAGGCACCTGCCAGCAAGTGCATCAACTGCATACGCTTGTACATAGGTAAATGACACAGTGGGGCATGGCGAAATATCTTTTTCAGCCTAGCCCTCAGGAGGCAGAAGAAGATGGACTCTCTATTTCCATGAGGCAAATGTGCTTTATGATTTTCCATACAGCCTTCCTGTCTGGCTAAGAGGTCGATGGAGTCTCCTGTCTGTCTTCATTCAGTCTGCTGTAAGGGCTGCTTGGTGGAGATGACTGCAGTGTAGCCAGGCTCACCCCAGGACTCCCTAGTCCTCTTCTAAACATCAGTGATCTAAAGCTAGGCATGGTAGAGTGGGCTTTAATTCTAGTACTCAAGATTGTGAGCTGAAGGCTAGTCTGAGCTATGTATATAGCAAGACTTTCTCAAAACTACAGCAGCAGCAACAACAACACTCCACAGAAAACGACTGATCTGCTCTGCTGTACACGTGTGTAGGAGCAGCACGCCGACTCCTCATCAGTATATACAGTTAGCAAAAGTAATTTTGTTTTCAGTAATAGACCAGTTTTAAAAGGAGACATCGAGTCTGGAAATTGGAGAAGGGGTTGGGGCGAGTTTGTGTGGCTCACTCTTGGTAACACCTTCATCGTTGATTATAGGTTAAAACGTTTCCCCAGAGAAGAAAGACCGTAAGCACCATGATGGACTCAGAAGCGCATGATAAGAGGCCCCCAATGTTGACCTCTTCAAACCAGGATCTGTCTCCTCACATTGCAGACGTGGGTGAGATAAAGCATTACTTCTGTGGCTGCTGCGCAGCGTTCAACAACGTGGCCATCACATACCCCGTTCAGAAGATTCTCTTTCGGCAGCAGCTGTACGGCCTCAAAACCCGGGATGCGATACTCCAGCTGAGGAGGGATGGGTTTCGAAACTTGTATCGTGGGATCCTCCCCCCACTGATGCAGAAGACAACCACGCTGGCACTTATGTTTGGTCTGTACGAGGACCTGTCACGCCTGCTCCGCAAGCACGTGAGCAGTGCTCCCGAGTTTGCCACCAGAAGTCTGGCGGCGCTGCTTGCCGGGACAACAGAAGCCATTCTCACTCCGTTCGAAAGGGTTCAGACTTTGCTTCAGGACCACAAGCATCACGATAAGTTCACAAACACTTACCAGGCCTTCCGGGCCCTGAAATGCCACGGAATTGCAGAGTATTACCGAGGCTTTGTGCCTATCCTTTTCCGAAATGGATTCAGCAATATCCTTTTTTTTGGCCTTCGAGGGCCCATTAAGGAGCATCTGCCTACTGCCACCACAAATAGTGAGCATTTGGTCAACGACTTTATCTGTGGAGGTGTGCTGGGGGCCATGCTGGGCTTCCTGAGCTTCCCGATTAATGTTGTGAAGGCTCGGATCCAGTCTCAGATTGGCGGGCCCTTCCAGTCTTTCCCCATGGTTTTCAAGACAATTTGGCTCGAGCGGGACAGGAAGCTGATCAATCTCTTCAGAGGCGCCCATCTCAATTACCATCGCTCTCTCATCTCCTGGGGAATAATCAATGCCACCTACGAGTTTTTGTTAAAGATTGTATGATACGGTCACTACAGGAAATGTTATTCTCCACCAACTAGACCTAAAGAGAGTGTGATTTGTCTTTGTTCCTAATTGGCTTAAATACCGATTGGCGTAAGTCCAGGCCATAATAAGTTAAGGACAAAGCATTGACAGAAACATAAAAGGTTTCGGTGGGCATATGTCAGGGTTTTGGTTTGATCATTACTCAAGAGCTTTAGGCTGTTACCTGGTAACTAGCCATGTGTCTGATGACCTTTTCAGGGCAGCTGTCAGCCAGATAGATTCCTTTTCCTCCCGGAAGCAAGCCTTGCTAGGCCTTCGGTGTGGAAACAGTGGCATCAGCAACCAGCGCGTGCGCTCCGTCCTAGGGCTTCTCAGGCCCACCTCTCATCTCCTTCATTGCTTCTCCACCCTCGGGGGTCATCTTCACTAAACCCCAGCATTGCACGGTGGGCGAGCATCTTAGCTGTGTAGTTCCATGATGAATTGTTGGATTTGAGACTAAGTGCTGTTGAGATGGCCATTAGCCACACTTTTTATTTAGATTTGGTAGGATTACGCAGCCAATGGAAAGCTTCCATTTCACTGTTTAGCTTTGAACATTTTCTGTTTAATTCAGAATGTGACTTTTAAGCCCTTCTAGAATGTTCTTGTGCTTTTTTACTGAATTCATTGCCAAAAGATAGGGTGACCAGTGGGGACATTGTCCCTTGTGAGTAGTACCTGTAGTGTTCGTCTATCCTGTTCTCTGGTAGTAGACTTTAAAATAAACACTTCCATAAAGTTTTATTTTGGGAGTCTGTTAATACAATTCCAGGTTTTTTCCTTGGTTTCTCAGCACTGCAGAGTGAGGCGAGAGCAGAGGGCAGTTTTGCCCAGTGCTCGCTCTCCTTCTGTTTCTCTGGAAAGAGTTCCTCAGCGTCCTGGCATTCTAGGAGCCGGCTTACCTGTGCCCCTAGAGCAGCGTGAGAGGTGTGGTGTGAGGGACAGCACCAACACCTGGAGCTCAGGGAGGCCGAGGAATCCGCAGTTGTACTCTGGGTAAAGGGTGTGACAAGACTCAGGGTCAAGCTGAGTCCCGTCCCTTCTGGAGAGGTCACTTACGGATCTTAGTTACATTTCTTTCCCAGGATCTGTCCTGAGAGCCATCGTGTCTCCTTCCATGGTGCTGGGATTGAACCTAGGACCTTGCACATCCTAGGCAAGTGCTTACCCACTGAGCTACACTCCACTGAGCTACACTCCACTGAGCTACACTCCCGCCTCCCGTTTTTTTTTTTTTTTTTTTAATTTTTGTTTTTGTTTTTGAGACAGGGTCTCAACATGTAGTCCGGGCTGGTCTTGAACTTACAGAGGCCCGCCTGGCTCTGCCTTCTGAGTGCCAGGATTAATTAAAGGCATGAGCTGCCGTCCCTGGCCTCTCTGGTCTGTAAATCTTTAAAGCCAGCTTGGCCTCGCTCTGGCTGATTGCATCCAAGAGCTTACCCCTACAAACTGACATCAGGCCCTCAGCTGGAATTTGCTCAGTTTCTGGGGCAGGTGATCCAGAACAGCTGTTCCCTCTCAGGTTAACGCTGGCTAAAGACGGTAAACATCCTCCCGGCTAGGAAGGCTGGGAGCAGGAGCACTGGGGCGGCGGTGATGGAGGTCAGCGGCTGCGGGGCAACACTGAATGGAGGATTGTGTGCGCTGCAGCCATCACGTAGGTGTGAGGGCTCGGAAGACACGATTTGACCCAGATAAATCTGAGTCGTGCAGCGGCTTCAGTTAAGTGTGAAGGGGGTGAACTTTGGCGCCGTGACCTCTGACCCCGAGTTGACACGTGCAGCATGGCCGCACAGGGCTGGTGCGCTCGTTGGGGATGTGGCCCCGGCCGTGGGCCGCCAGTGGCAGTGTTTCCTTCGCACTCCGCACTCCGTGCCGGTGGTGGAAGTTGTCAAGCACTCCTGTGTCGTACATGAGCAGTAGAAGGGTTGGCTCTGGCTTCCGCTGGCTCAATCATGTGGCGTCTCACAGCAGTTACTAAACTTCTCAGTGACTTTTAACTTGAAGCGTTTTGTCACCCAGAGCTCTCGAAGACTAAACTGCAGTGTGTCACAGAGACGGCGTTGTCTCCTGTAAATTTCAGCTTGACAGAAAGCGCTTAACTTGTAGCCCACTTTGTCTGAGCTTTTACACCAGAATGTAATTCATAGGTCCTAACTAGTATGGTGGTGTTTTCCACAGGCATCCCTAATTAAAGAACTCTCTGAAAAGCTTTAAAGTGGCCCTTCTGCTACACGTGTGGCCCAGGTGGCTCGTGAGCACGGGACCCTTGTGTCCCTCGCGTCTCATCTGATGCCGTCAGAAGCAGCATGAGTGCAGTGAGCCTTCAGGACCGCACCGGTGCCGGCACAGCCTTTGCGTGGTGGCAGATCCGTGTCTTACTCCATTTGTGGTTAGAGACAGATGTCCGTGCCTATCCGCGTCCGTCCTGTGGTTGGCCGTGTAATCACTTGCTGTCTGTGGTGACCCTGTGCAATAAAGCAGAGTTGTACATATATAGTTTTATTTGGGTGCCCGAAATTCCTGAGCTCAATTACAAACTTGTAAGGTGCAGGGCTGGCTTTGTGTGGCTGCCATCGAATGAACACTGGTTGGAATGAGACCGGTGCAGTGTGGGTCCGGTCAGAGGCGAGGCTACAGACTGTTGGCCGTAAGGCACTCATACTTGGTTTATGTTAAATGTATTTTTTCCCATGTACAAATAAATGCATATCAAAAACTTGAATATGTTCTCTTGAGACTTAAAGATTGCTAGTTTTGTTGTGGTTTCTTTTGTTTGTTTTCTCTTTGTAGCTTTGGCTGTCCTAGAAACTTGCTCTGTAGACCAGGCTGGCCTCAAACTCACAGAGATCCATTTGCCTCTGCCTCCCAGGTGCTGGAATTAAAGGCATGACCACCACCCACGGCTGATTTCTAGGTTTTTAATGCTCTTTGCTTGCCAAGTTGGTGAGGAGGTGGGTCTACATATAAGAAACAGAACAGATTTCTTGTAATATGGGTCTACATATATTTTTATATTAAAAGAGGCAAAATACATGTATATGGGTCCACATATAGTCTTTATTAAAAATGGCTAGACAAAGCTTTGGTTGCTCTTTCGAGTTGTGAGTTTGAGTAAATCTGTTAAATATTTGTGTTAACTTTTGTGAAGTTGGAATACAATTTGGTGTTTTGTGGCTGGATGGTCTTTTAACCACTGTAGCACAAATATTAAAACCCCAGAGACAAATATTGGGGTTCAACCTGACGATCCGGAGACAAAGCAGCCAGCCACTGGCTCTTACCTCTGCCTCAGACTAAAATAGCCATCCTGCCTGCATGATCCTCAGAATGAGACTGAGCTGAGAGAAGTCTCCTCCTGCTTTATATTCCTAGTTAGTGCTGGGAGTAAAGGCGTGCACCACCACTGCCCGACCTCTGTAACTACTAACTACAGTTAATAGGACTAAAGGTGCGTGCCACCACTACCTGGTCCCTGTGGCTGTTTACTCTGATCTCGGCAAACTTTATTAAAATACAAATGAGATATCACTACATACACTAGTGCATTATGGGGTGTGGTAGAGTAGTCTACCAGTCTTTCTGTGGGTGAGCATTAGCTTACCGGCTCGGCAGTTCACCTGAAGGCTCAGCAAGGGCCACACCCCTCTTATTTAGTAGGAGGGCTTGACCTCACCCTTACTGCAGGGGGCTTTGTTTCTTAAAAGCTGCTCTCCCCTGTTACAGACTTGCCCACATTGTGATTCAGTCTGTCAGTCACTTCTGCTGTAAGGCCCCCTCTAAACTGCTTCCTGGGGAAATGGGCTGGATGCTGAGCTTTGTCATCTTTGTCTCCACCAGTAGCGGCCATGGGCATGTCTATAGGGACAGTTCTTTCTTCCTTCCTTGGAGATGGTGTCTCACAGTGTCATCCCAAACGTCCTGCCTCTGAGTGCTGGGATGTTTTCTTGATTGTTGATTGACGTAGGGAGGACCCAGCCCACTGTGGGATGCGCCAAGTGGGCCCGGGCTGTGTGAGGAGCAGAATGTGACTTTGGGAGCAAGCCAATTGACAACTCTCCTGTTTTCCACTTGGGCCTCTGCCTCTGGGCTCCTGCTCTGTCTCAGCCCCCCTCCCCCCAGGGCGGACTGGAAGGTCAGGAAGCAAATGGCATGTCCAATTTTAAGTTGCCCCCGACTGGAAAAAACTGAAGTCCTGTAAAGGACAGGTAGGCGAGGGAGACTCCATTCTAGCATTTTAAACTGATTTTTGTTTAGGAACGTGTCCTGTAGCTACCCAGTATTGTAAAGCTCTAAATGCTTTTTAGAGCAGAGCATTCTAAGTATTGAGATCCGCACTTAACACAGAACTCTGGCTTCCCAACAAATTCCGAAGGAAAAAAGAAAGCTCTTCTTATTGGATGCTGTTTCCTAGGCTGCATTGGGTTGTGTGCACCGCCCCCCGCCCCACCCAGGAGGGAGGCATTGTAAGAAATCAACCACACGGGGCTGGAGAGATGGCTCAGAGGTTAAGAGCACTGACTGCTCTTCCAGAGGTCCTGAGTTCAATTCCCAGCAACCACGTGGTGGCTCACAACCATCTATAATGAGATCTGGTGCCCTCTTCTGGCCTGCAAGCATACAAGGAAGGAATGTTGTATACATAATAAACAAATAAATCTTAAAAAAAAAATCAACCACAATCATCCATGTTCAGTTCAGTAGGCGTGTGTAGAGCTCAGGCCGGTCTAACCTGGGAGCTTGTTAGCTCCCCCCCCCCCCATAGGGCTGGAAAGCTTTGGTTTGCTATGGGACTAGGCTCTGGTGTGAGAAAAAAAGGAGCTCTCCCAGCCTCCAGAGGATGGGGTTGTTTGGAGTGCTACACAGCAGGAAGGATTGTACCTCCCTGAAGAGCCCAGACGGTGAGGGATTCAGGGGCAGAAAAATGTAATTAGCAAAACGTAAAAATCACTGTCCTGCGCCACAGGGAAATGCCGGTCATTCTTCCTTTCTCTCAGCTGACTCCTGACTTGGCAAAGCGGTCAGATAAACTGCTTCACCTCGGCTCACTCTTGAGTCAGCAGCGCTCTAGGTAGGAAATGAGCATGGGTGTCACTCACTCTTGTGAGCTGCGCTCTTGGCTTAATCTGTAGGGCTTGAGCTATGTCCCTGACCAGGAGTTTGAGGGACAGGGTCTGTGTCCCAGGTCTTTGAACCCACTAAGGTTCATACCCCATAGAAGAAGCATAATCTCATCCCAGACGTTGTCTTTATCATATGTCCCTCATGTCAAAGATGGGCTTTTTTTGTTATTATTCTATTGTTAATATTCTATTGTTGTTTTGTTTTGTTTTTCTAGGCAGGGTTTCTCTGCAGTTTTGGAGCCTGTCCTGGAACTAGCTCTTGTAGACCAGGCTGGTCTCGAACTCACAGAGATCCACCTGCCTCTGCCTCCCGAGTGCTGGGATTAATGACATGTGCCACCACCACCCGGCCAATTTATTCTTTCTGAAAACTGCCACAAAATGAGGGGCTGCCCACTTCTGACCAGAAAGCACTGGGGTAAGAGTCGTGGTTTTGCTGTTTTTAAGAAATGCTAGGAACACCATCAATTAAATCCACTTGTTTTGGTTTGAACTTTGTATATGACTTTTTTGGCTGTGTGTGCCTGCAGTACCTGCAAAGGCCAGAAGAGAGTGTCAGACCCCATATGGAACTGGAATCATAGACAGTTGTGAGCCACCTTGTAGTGTTGGGAATTGAATTCTGGTCCTCTGGAAAAGCAGTCATCTCTCCAGCCCCTCAATGTTATGTAACAAAAAATGATTTTTTTTTTTTTTGAGTTGGGGTAAGTAGTTCATGGCTGTAATTCCAACAGTCTAGGGGGCAGAGGCTGGAAGCTGGCTACATGTTCAAGACCAGTCTACTGGTGACCAGTTCAAGCTGACCAGGACTACACAGGGAGTCCTGTCTCCGAGAAAGAGAAACAGCCCACTCAAAGAACAATGTAGGTAATAACCCCTTAAGAATAAATGCAATGAATGTATCAATGTACAATGAAAGAGCTTGATATTTTATATTTAATTCCTCCCCCCTCGTTACCTAGTATTTAATGTTTGAAAAGCATTCACAATGAGATTTGGATCCTTGATTTTACCCTAATAAAAACTGTTTTCATTAACACAGCAGTAATATAAACACAGCAGTCGATCATACTCATAATGTAAATGGTTTCCTAGGGAACTAGGGTTTTTTTTTTAATATAAAGAATAAATAATTTTGTTTTCCAAGGCTGGGGGTCCAACTTGCCTCCAGGCTGCTAAGCAGAGTCTCTACTTAAGCCCTACACAATGTTTTGAATTACGTATCCCTGGTGTTTTCTTTCATTGTCACTGGCAACGCAGGAGCAGCGACTTACAGCTTTTACCAGAGTGCCTTAGCGCCAGCTTTCCTCCCGACTTAGAGAGGTCTGCTCCTGGAAAGCTGACCTCAGGGTAACTGCCCAGGAATTCAGACGTTAAATGGGGAGAGGTCGGCTCCAGCGGAGGCGGTGCTGCGCTGCTGACATTGGGGGACCTGATGGGACACGCTGCGTTCACCCACACTGTCAACCACAGAGTTGTTTTCTCGACAGGCCAGAAACATGCAATTCCCTGAGAGTTGTCTTCTGACCTCTACACACACGTACGATGGCACTGTCTCACACACACAACAAAAAACTTACACGGGAAAGATTTAAAGTTGTTTTCTGACTGACTTTATACAGTGATCCATCCAATAGCCATAAAAAACAAACAAACAAAACCCTTAATCCTAACTTGTCTTGTTTCTCAAACCGTAGTACCCAGAGCTGCAGCAGCAACAGAAAACTGGGCAGACAAGTGGCGGGCAGGGCAGACATCAGCGGAGGACTGACACCTGTGGCTTAGCTCTTCCAGATGATTCCAACCTGCCTTAGAGCCCTCTGCTGTAGGAGGGACTGGGGGCGGGGGGGGGGGGGGGGGGGGGGGGGGGGGGGGGGGGGGAGGCAGCTTGTCTATGTCACTGTTCAGAAGGAGCGGGCTTGCCCAGTGGGGGATGGGTTGGGAGCGAGCATGAAGTGAGAATCACATGAACGCAGCTTCTAGCACAGACTTCTGACTGCGAACAAGGAAGAGTTGTTTGGGGCCTGCGCAAGCTTCCCATTACTGAACGAAATCAATCAAAGTGGGAAGGTGCCATGAGATGGTTCAGCAGATAAAGGTGCTTGATGCCAAGCCTGATGTCTAAGGGTCAGTGCCCAGAGCTGAACGTCAGGAAGAGTGAAGAGACCTCCATGCCCACACCACGGCATAAATGCATAAATGAATGTAATAAAATACTTAGATCTCAAAAGGTGGGAGGTTTGTTTTGGCTTAGTTTTGGAGGCTCCAGTTCACAGTCTGCTGACTTCACTGTTTGGGGGTAACAGCAAGGAAGCCACTGCCCAAATGAACAGCCCCCCAATTAGACTTCTGTTGTTTAAAGGTTCTGCCACCTCCTCGCAAATGTGCCCTGGGTTAGGGAACACTGCAGACCCAAACTACCACAGGGCTAAGTGCTGCTGGGACTGGGGAGGCAGGAAGGCAGCTTGATTGGAACTAGGTGTAGTGGTACACAGTTGTGATTCCAGTTCTCAGGGGGCTGCGGCAGAAGGGTTAAAAGTTTGAAGCCAGCCTGGACACATAGGGAGCTCATCTGAAACAAAAACTAAAAGTCCCGTGTGGTGTGTGCGCGCATGCGCATGTGTTCAAATGCACGCAGGTGGGAGCCAGAAGGCAATCTCAGGTATTGGCTCTCAGGTCATACACCTTATTTTTTTAAGACAGGGACCTGGCAGTTCCATGCTTAGGCTAGTCCCAATGGCCAGCGAACCCCAGGGGTCTGTTTCTGTCCCCCAGCTCTGGCATTCACACGCACTGACCAACACATTGGATTTTTATATGGATGCTGGAGATGAAACTCAGATCCCTACCAGGCGTGGTGGTGCACACCCTTAATCCCAGCACTTGGGAGGCAGAGGCAGGTGGATCTCTGTGAGTTCAAGGCCAGCCTGGTCTATAAATGGAGTTCAGGACAGCCAAGGTTGCACAGAGAAACACTTTCTGGAAACAAAACGAAATAAAAACCCCACACATGCTGGTCATGATTATCAAAACCTGTGTTAGAGAGACTCGCTGGCCTGTGGGGAGCTACAGGTGGGAATTCCCAGGAGGGAATTGTTAAGGTATAAAAGGGAAGCGTGAGCGAGACCTTGCCAAAGACTCCCTGGGCTGGAAGGAAACCTAGACTCCGGTGGGGGCGCACACCTTCAGGATGTCTTCCACTCTCTTCCGGTGCCAGCGCTGCAACCAGCCCCTGAAGCTCCGTGCAATGCAGGAAGGGCCCTTGGAAGCCCAGCAGCATGCCAACCCCTCCCCAAGGGCCAGGACCTCCAGCAGCCCCGTTCCTGACTGGGGCAAGTCGTCCCAGGAAAGTGCCTGCTCTACCTTCTCTTTGCTTGATGAGTTGACTACCCAGAGAACTTTTGCAAAGCAGGAAGGGCCCTTGGAAGCCCAGCAGCATGCCAGCCCCTCCCCAAGGGCCAGGACCTCCAGCAGCCCCGTTCCTGACTGGGGCAAGTCGTCCCAGGAAAGTGCCTGCTCTACCTTCTCTCTGCTTGGTGAGTTGACTGCCCAGAGAACTTTGAACACTATCCAAAATGTTGTCTTAGAGATCTCTGAAAACCTCTCCGGCCAAAAAGATGTGGACCACCCGCTCTGTGTGGACTGTATGAACAATCTTGTGAGGGAACTAGATGCCCAGCTCACTCTAGTTGAAGCTGACACAGAGAAGTACAGACGTTTCGTGGAGAGAGAATCGCTGGTGAGTGAGGAGGAGAGGGAGGCCATGAATGCGGAGCTCTTGCCTGAGCTGCGGAGTCTGGAGCAGGAAGAAGCAAGGCTGGCTCAGGAGCAGAAGGACATAGACGGCCAGAATGCAAGAATAGAGGCCGAACTCAGAGAAGCCATGTCAGAGAGCTGGAAGCTCGAACAACAGGAGGAGGAGGATTTGAAGGAGTACGCTGCCTTGACAAAGAAACGGCTGGAGCTGATAGACAAGCTGAGCAGTGTGGAGAACCGATTGGCCGATGCCCAGAAGCAGCTGTCGCGCCTGAGAAAGACCGATATCTTCAATATGACGTTTACCATCTTGGATGAGGGGCCGCTGGGCATTATCAACAACTTCAGGCTGGGCCGCCTCCCTGGCATCCAGGTGGAATGGGGTGAGATTAACACCGCCTGGGGACAGACAGCCTTGCTGCTCTTCAGCTTGTCCAAGCTAGCTGAACTGCAATTCCAGAGGTACCAACTAGTGCCCTGCGGGGACCATTCCTACCTTAAGTCCTTGGCTGGTGATGGGATGCTGCCGCTGTTCTCAGATGGGAGCCACAGAGTCTTCCACAATAACGAGTTTGATTGTGGGATGAAGGCCTTCCTGGACTGCCTGCAGCAGTTTATGGAGGAGGCTGAGAAGAAAGGCCTCTTCCTGCCCTATAGGATCCACGTGAAGAGAGGGGTGCTGGAGGATACCAAGGGCAGTGGCGAGTGCTGCTCCATCAGTACCCACCTGAACTCAGAGGAGGAGTGGGCAAAGGCTCTTAAATTCATGCTTACCAACTTAAAGTTGATTCTTGCTTGGGCTTCGTCAAGGTACTGTTCTAAGATAGAACCAGTCTGGAGCCATTTTAAATAAAACTTCCATTTTGAATAGGGGTCAAATAAAGTTTAAGTTCCCAAGACCTCCGTGGGTAAATGACATCCTGCTTGGCAGAGAGAGACATGCATGTGGGTAAGTGATATCCTGGCTTCTAGTTAAGACTCTGGAATGAGTGTGGGGCAAGCCACCTGGCACACTGGAGTAAGTCAACCAATGACAACAAGATATGTGGACCACATAGATAAATGTTCCTAGGAATGTCCCCTTCCCCGAATCCTGATGGGTAGAAAAATGCAACCGTAACTTGGTACAGATGTTGTGATTTTCAGGAATAAAAGCGTTGTGATGTTCTGGCTTAAGGCTCAGCTCCCGAGTTTGTTCTGCAACTCTAGTCAATCAGTAGCAAAAACCATTTTTTTTGTTTTCTGCATTGGCTTGGTGTGCGAGTTGTGTTGGCTCCAAGTGGACTTTATAGTGCTATGACAATGAACTCATCTTCAAAAATACTAGGGAAATAAGGTGGCACAACTCAGGAATGTAATGCGTTTGTGATCCAAAGATCGTTTTGTCTTTCTTAAGAGAAGTTCTTCGTAGCTCAGGTGGACCTCGACACTCCTCCTGCTTAGTCCTGAATGCTGGGATTACATGAACCCACCAGGAATGAGTTTTAAAATAGTGCCTCAGAGGCCCTTGGTTGATCCCTAGTACCCATTATGTGTTATTTGCTGAGAGTGACCCAAATGTCACTGCTGCACTGTGGTCATTTTTCCTTGTATCTTTTTCTCTGGTTCCTCTTCACCCAGGCATTCAAAATGATAGGGGCAAAAAACCCCAAAGACATAAGATCACTCTTGCATTAAAAAAATGATAGAGATGAGGAGGGAATTGGCCAGAGATGAGTGGAGTCGGGGTAGCGAGGAGAAAAGCTGGTTGGAACTTTCTGAGAAAACTGTGTGGTGGCTCTACTGTGTGGAATGGCCCTTTGGAGGGCAGCAGTCATGAGGTCAGATGTCAGGGAGTGCGAAGGTTCGAGTTTTGTAATGCATGAGCCTCGCTTTTCATCTCTTATGTTTACATTTTCTGAAATGAAAAGGAAACCTGTGTCAGAAAGCATGAGAACATATATGCCATTGGTTTTGCAGAGGGGGAGAGACAGTAACCTAGAGAAAGGAAGACATTCTCAGAGTCAGAAGGAACATAGCCCATCCGTGCCTTGACTTTTGTGTAGGGACCCATGTTGGAACTTGTACTAGTTTAAAGCGCTAAGGTCATGAGAGTTTGTTACAGCACTAATAGGAAACTAATATATATTATTTAGAATGCCAATTTCTTATCCAATTAAACTTATTTGATTTGCCTTTTTTGTTCTTAACCTCACTATGTTAAGGTCATGAGTTTGTTACAGCACTAATATGAAACTAATATGTATTTAGAATGACAGTTTCTTATCCAATTAAAAATTTACTTGATTTGCCTTTTTGGTTGTTTTTAATCTCACTATGTTACTCTGGCCTTAAGTTTGTGATCCTCTTGCCTCAACCTCTCCAAGTGCTGTACCACAGGCATGTGCCACCATGCCCAGCTAAAACACCCTGTTTTTAAGTAGCCCCAATATGTCCGTGAAAGAAGTAACAGTGAAACTTAAGAGCTACAATTTGTTAAATCAGTTCATCTATTTGGCAAAATAATATGAATTGAATGAAACTTGTTCTTGTTTGAGTTTTGAGATGGAGTCATGCTATATCACCCAAGCTGGCCCTGCCCGCACACAAGTGATCTTTGTGTTTCAGCCTCCAGAGTGCTTGGAAGTCTAGGCCTGCGCCGCTGACCTACTAAATCACTCTCTTCTTACCTCTCTCGTGCAGGGAGAAACTTAGAACTTTGACTTTTCAGTGTTATGCCTCTTCATTTTTTTTTGTTTGTTTTTCAAGACAGGGTTTCTCTATGTATAGCCCTGACTGTCCTGGAACTCACTCTATAGACCAAGCTAACCTCAAATTTGGGAGATCCGCCTGCCTCTGTCTCCCGAGTGCTGGGATTAAAGGTGTGTGCCGCCACTGCCCAGCTTTGCACGTTTTTAAAAGGCAATAAATTAATATAATAGCATACTAGGTAAATAATCAAAATGTGGAGGCAGGCTCCTACTGATGGCTCATGCCTTTAATCTCAGCAATCAGGAGGCAGAGGCAGGTGTACGTCTCTGAGTTTGAGGCCAGCCTGATCTCATAGTGAGGCCAATAAGAGCTATATTGTGAGCCTCTTAAATAAAAAACCCATGAGAAAAAAACAAAACAACAAAGAATTTGACATGAATTCATAATTTCTTTCTGGAGTTTACATGATCCAAACAGTGATTATCAGTCTACTACTGCCCTGTCTCAACCTTATGGTCAGTCTTGATCTAAAAATGCATACCCAGGTGGTGAGAGTAAAATATTTCAAGCCACTATATCTGATATTTCATTGACCTTTCAAACATGTTAATCATACACAAAAGTGTGTCAAATGTTTGCAAGTAACATTTATTTCTTAAAATCACATAATGAGGTAGACATGTACCAAAATATTCAGGGCACATATAAAGGTTTAATGAAACCTGGAGATTTTATGTTGGTATGTGTGGTGGTCATCTGTAATTCTGTCTATCCACTCAAAAGGCTTAAAATAATTCAATAGGAAAGGTAAATCTATTTTACAGTCTTAGAAAGTTTATCTGTTCTGAAAAGAACATTTCACATACCAAAAACCATCTGTAAGTAGCTTTAATTATAGAGTAGAAACTAAGGAATGAAGTCGTGCAGTTGTAGCTGTCTTTGAAGGCCTTTAAAGATAGCTGGAGGATGTGCAATTCTTACAATGCCTTTCTAAGTTAAGAACCACTTAATGTGTGAGCCAAGGCCACATCAGAATGCACTGCTGCTGCTCCCAGGTTTACAACAGGCTGCATGTAAACGAGCATGCAGCCTAAATAACTCCACAACCTTGTAATGCCAGCCCGGTTGATGTCTGTTTCCTATGCTTCTATAGAGAGACCGTAGTTTTATCTCCGTTCCCTGAGTACCTAGTACCAGGCATATACTAGGGTTCAAGTCCATGTTCAGTGAGAATTAGAACCCTGATTTAGCTTTCAAAAATCAATAAATACCCAGAGGAAGATAGCCTACTATTTAAAAACAACCACCCCCCAAACAAACAAAATCAACCAAACTAAACCAAACCAAACCAAACCCCAACCACCACCACCTGATACTGCCTCTGGGGCTCGGTAAGTTTTCCATCACATTCTGGCTTCATGAGAACTTGAGGCCACACATAGTGAAGGTTCATTTGACTCATTCAACAGGTATTTATTGAACAACCACTCTGTCAGATCCTCTCCTGGGCACCATGGATACAAGAATAAAGAAGATAGCCCTGCCCTGAAGGAGCGCACAGTCTAGCAGACAAGCCAATAGCACCTTAGACCCTGCGATAGTGTTCTGATTGGCAGCTTATTAACTAGAATGTTCCAAGTTTGTTTTAAAAACACAAACCTAACGTTTAAAGACTGTGACCGGATTTAAATCCTGAACATTACTTTATTACTCCTGGGGGGGTGTCACGTTTCTATATACATACATCCAAAAGATGTGTGCATCAGATGTGCTCCTCGGGGCTTTTGACTGAACCTCTGTCAGCTCATTTACGGCAAACATGGAGATTTTCCTGTTGGCGATAATTTCCATTATCATTTGAACGGGAGTTCTCAGGACAGTGGCAGTTCTCTAGGATGTACATGTTCGGTGGCCGTTAGTGTGATATCAGGTATACATTTCAATGGTTTCAGTGGCATCTCTCTAGCCCTAAGCCTACCTGGAGCTTCCTTTTCCTTCCTCTTCTGCACTCCGTGGGTGTCCTTCCGCATGTGTTGCTTACCCCTTGCAGATGGAGCGCTGTTGGCTGTTGTTGCTGCACTCTGCTTCAGTGCTAGTCTGGGGCCCAGCAGCAGCAGCTCTGGTTTATGCCTCCCTTACTTGCTTGCCCCACCTTTAACAATGGGCTTCATTTTTCAGATGGTGAGTAGAACACAGCCAAAGGAGCTGCCTCACTGTGTGCCCAGAGTTTGCCCAGTTATTTTTGTAGGCAGCGACCAGGACTGGTTAACTCATGTCACAGCCCGTAAGATAGCACAGAAGTAGGAGCCTGTTAGAAACAGGCGTGCTGATAGAATACATTACTTCGCAATATACATTTTTAAAGCTAACCATGAGGCAAATACATAGTTGAGGGAATATTCCTAAGAGATATTTCTCACATTTCTTATAGCCCTTTGTGTTCTATGAAATAGTCTACATGTATCAGAGCTCGTTGTGGATTTGCAATAATACATTGTGAGTGTAATGTAACTTCATCATGATAAAGTGAATCAGATCGAGCATGCTGTTTAAGAAGGCAGAGAGGTAGACTACCATACCTACGGAGACTTGCATCAACAATAACTACAAATTTAAAATTTTGGCACTTAAGAGATACACATTAGTTATCCAGACAAAATCCACATATATGGATTCCTTCATGACCAACAGAAGGTGTTACAGAATGGATCTATACAGCACCCAAGGACCACTGGTCACTGAATGAGGATGATTGTCATCAGGAAGCTACCAGACCATATCGCCTGCTTTTTATAAAAGTCAAATGAAAGCCTGGCATGGTAGTGCACACTTGGGAGGCAGAGGCAGAAAGAACTCTGAATTGCAGGCCAGCCTGGTCTACACAGCGAGTTCCAGGACAGTCAGGTCTACACAAAGAAACCTTGTCTCAAAAACAAAACTAAAAGCCAAGTGTAACAGACACTTAGGGACACAGTGCTGCATGGTCCAGTGTGAGAGACAACAGTATTCTAAGGGTTTCTTGGGGTGTTTCCCCTCTGCTCCCCTTCTAGAATGACAGCCTTTAAAATTACATGAGCTGACCTGGTCCTAGATGCAGGAGTAGGGAACATGAACTTTATTATTTTCCTTTGAGTTGTTCCCTTAAAACTTTTATTGTGGCTTCTTTTTAGGGATCTAACAGGGAGAAATAAAATAGACATGATTTGGGCTTTGTGGAAAAAAAAAAAAAGACACTTAAAACAAATAAACTGGGACTCACTATGACTCTGGCTTGCCTGGAACCTTAGCATGCAGACCAGGCTGACCTCAAGCTCACAGAGATCCACCTGCCTCTGCTTCCCCTGCGCTGGGATTAAAGGCGTGCGCCACCACTAGCTGTGATCACTTTTTTAAAAAAATAATTTTTATTTTATGTTCACTGGTGTTTTGCCTACACGTATGTCTTTGTGAGGTGTCAAGCCCTGGAACTGGAGTTACAGACAGGTGTGAGCTGCTATGTGGGTGCTGGGAATTGAACCTGGGTCCTCTGGAAGAGCAATCAGTGCTCTTAACTGCTGAGCCCATTTCTCCAGCTCCATGGTCACACATATTTTTAAAAACAAAAGACTCTTATTTTAGCCCTTCATTTCCTGATTGAAAATAAGCAACTATTGTATATGTGATGCACCTAAGTCATTCAACATAGCATTCCCATTAACAGGTGTTCTGAAGAAAGCTTTAAGCCAGAATAACTTAGTTACCAAGATTTACCAACAATAACTTCATTATCAATTATAATAGAAATGTATAAATAAAACAGTAAAAAGTACCAGATTTTCAGACTGTTCAAATGGGACCTTAAAATGGTAATATGTAACTTTTCCCAATAGTACAGGTTTTCTGAGGCCCTTCAATTCTGGTTAATACTGACTGATTTTTGTCTTGGCCCTGACTCTCCCTGCTGCAGCACTTGCTGGCTCTTTTCGGTTCTCATCTCTGGCTTTGCTTTCTCACAAAGCTATCCTCTACATTTTCAACACGAGTGCTGCTTGCTTGGTTTTTAGCTTAGAACGGCCCACATGTATGCCTGGGGTGATGATCTGCAGTCTCATGGAAACACCAGTGTTCAAAATGTTCTATGCAGCAATGAAGGCAACAAGGCCAGCCTTGTAATAAAATTTTGCAGAAGATATCAAGCTCATACATTAACAGACCAAGGTAGCTAGCTCATCCTTCACAAACTAAGGGGCAAAAATGGTAGAGAAGTCAGTACAGACTTAGTAATAAAATAAACAGGCAAACCTGGGTCTGAATTCAGTGCTGCTTGGGAGGGAGCCTTGCACAGCCTGAGTCTGATGTCCCTCCCTCCCTCCCCTCAGGAAAACCAGAGAGAAAGCACAGACTCCAGATAACAGCTCAGTTATCATAAGAGGAAATAAAAAGCATCCCTCTTCGATAATTGCATTTGCATCCTTCTGAATTCTCCCATCCAGGCCTGACCCCCCTTAGCTTCTAAGGTGAGTTCATGTGCATTCAAGGGTAGTATGGCTATAGACTATCATTCTGAACTCTGTATTTGCAATTAAGAACACAGCAAAGAAGTAACTCACCACCTTAATATCCTTATGTCTAAATTAGCTTATAGAAGCAAGCCTATGATTTTCACTGTACTTTGCTGTTTTTTTCAATGACTACAAGTTTTCCAGCTTTTCTAACATCTATGATAAGATCTAATTTTTAAAGACTGCCCCAGAGCTAGCATTGTTCTTTGGGAGACAAAAGCTCTTGCAGGTGTGCGAATGGCTGATGGGCACTATAAAGAAAGAACTGTGCATTTATCCGTGTATTTGGGCTGTTTCAACATTTCTGTATCAAATACCTTTTTTGCTATGGATAAAACTTTCAGCATCTACTCCCATGCAGCCTTTTCCAATCTGATCATCTTATTCACAATAATATAACCTAAAGACAAAATGCCCATAATTACTGATTTTTTTTGTTTTGTTTTTTAAGACAAGGTTTCTGTGTAGTTTGGAGCCTGCCCTGGTACTCGCTCTGTAGGCCAGGCTGCCTCTGCCTCCTGAGTGCTGGGATAAAAGGCATGTGCCACCACTGCCTGGCATCACTGATGTTTGTAACAGCCGTCCTAATACAGTAGAAACTGCCTTGAGCGAGGAATTAAGAGACTTGAAGCTCTGGCCTTCCCACTAACTTTGTATGACCTTAGGCAAATCGTTTAACTTCTTTCATTTGTCTAACGATGAAATGAATACCATTTCAAGTTATATGCTACTCTAAAATTGCTATTGTTGATTTATTATTATTACTGTTTAAATAGATGAAACATCTTGTGGGAATTGTGTTAAGCACCAAATGGGTATAGAAATACCTATTGCAATTTCAGGTTGTTTTCAAACTATGACCTGGAGGTCACCTGGATATAGATGATTTAAGGTTCTTTTTATAAAGAGTCCAGTCCTTTCCCTGCCTAAATCAGTCTTCTAAAGTCAGGCCCAGATTCCTGCATTTTTCACAAATCCTTCAAGGATTATACTGCTTCCTAATATTTGAGAAACGCTGGCCTAAAGGGCACGTGACCAAAGAGAGCAAGGCTCTGCATGGCTTCAATTATTCCAGCTTCTAACATATCTCAACAAATGCCAATCAATGTAGCAGAGACTGGAAGAACGCTGCCCATCCAAGGCAGGAGTCATTGCCTTCACACCTTGCCTGATACTTTCCATGACCAAAGCAGAGCCAGTAGGGCTACTCAAGTCACAGACAGCAGCGTAAAGGACTACAGGTCCCTTCTTAGTGATGGCGAGAGCGGAGTTTATGCTCTCTGGCTGAAGAAACAAAGACAATAAAATCTTATTTTCCTCCCACCCATTACTGTGAACAGCTCATCTGTGTGACTCAAAGAATCACAGCCAATCTAAGCCAACTTAGTCTTCTCACTCTATGGCCAGAAACTGTACCAACCTAATGAATAAATCTTCTGTACAACAGAAATGACCGAGCTTATTCCTTTCCTTTCCAATGCTGCTGACAGGAACAAAATACCAAATACAGACACATGCTGCAGATTTTAAATTCATACAAGTAAAATAAATTACAATGAGGTTGCAATATTTTTCTAGAATTTCACAACAAAAATCTCACATGAGATAACTTGTATAATTTTAACAGGAAATTTTAAAAGGATATTTTGTTGCAAGAGTATCAGTTATGAGAATAATGCTATTATCTGTGCTCAATATTTGACAGCAACTTTAAAGGCCAAGTGTACTGATAAATGAAGATGAACTTTCTTTTTTTCAAAAAGTGGTGTGCCAACATCCAACTTCTGGGTTTTATTTAACACTAGTGCCACAGGCTGTTCCTCATCCCAACCATGACTCTTATCCAATGCTCACAAAATTCATACCAAAATAAAATGGGGGGGGGGAAGCAGTGATGGAAACAGGGATGGGGAGAGAACAAGAGCCACATGCAAAATGACTAGGAAAACCCAAACTCAGCGGCACCGACAGCAGAGCAAAGGAATGCCAAGAGAACGATGCTGCATGGTCGGAATGGAGATGCCCAGGTGATGCTGGATGGCCAAGGACTCGGGTCACGGTGTTCACCAACCCATAAGAACCAATATCTTGACCCAGAGTTATAAGATCTTCTAAAAAAGAAAATACTTCACCTAAATTGAAGTAATTCATAAACAAACACCAGAAGAGTTCCTCATTTGATGTAAGTTGTGCCTAAAACTTTGGCTGATACAGAGAGACCCGTCCACTAAGGCACCCTGAGGCAATCTGACAGTGTGTTGGAGAGAACTTTGTTGTCAGGACCACGTCATTGTGAGAGTACAGAGAGCGAATCACCCGTAGGGGGCTGGCTTCTTTGGGTAAACAGTCAATAAGCTCACTGCACTGCTTGTCAAATCCCAACAAGCGAATCCCGTAGCCATGTGGGGAAGAAATCATTCGTCCATCGGGGCTGAAGCAAAGTTCTTTGATGTAGCCCCTGCCTACATTAGCTTCTTCAATGTAATGAGTCAGCCGCAGGGAACATCGAGGTGACACAGGCCGCACTGGAGCTCCTTCTTGGAATTCATAGACGCAGGTCCACTGGAGGAGGAGACAGGAGACAAAATGAAGTGACAGACCCCAAACAGTACTGCAGAAACACTCTAATGCTTTAAGACCTCTTGTTCCTGAGGCTGCCTACGACTTCTATCATTACATTGCTATCAAGACATTTCCTTTTTTTTTTTTTTTTTTTGAGGGCAGCAACAATCCATCCTCTGCATATTTCAAAGGCCTTTCTGCCTTCCTTCAGTTTGGTCTGTAGAGCCAGTGAGCTCTTGCAGACTTCTGCCTACCACAGTAATGAGATCCTAAGTGGTTTTTTTGGTTTTGTTTTGTTTTGTTTTGTTTTTTGCTACAGGGTTTCTCTGTGTAGCCTTGGTTGTCCTAGAACTTGCTCCGTAGACCAGGCTGGCCTCAAACTCTCAGAGAACTGCCTGCCTCTGCCTTCTGAGTGCTGGGATGATTCTAAGTTCTTTTAACTCTTCCTCCAGACATCAGTTTAGCCCCTTCCTTTCTCAGTTTCCTCTGGTTTTTACATAGACCGTTATGATATATCTTTTTTTTTTCTTTTGGCTTTTCAAGACAGGTTTAGCTGCCCTAGAACTTGCTCTGTAGACCAGGTTGACCTCAAACTCAGAGATCCGCTTGCCTCTGTCTCCCAAGTACTGGGATTAAAGGTGTAAGCCACCACTGCCTGGTGGAACTATTTTACTAAACCCTAAACCTCACGTTTAGTCAGTTTAACTGAATAGCTTGGTGTAACATATATCGTTTTGTGTGTTTGTTTTCTGTGATGGGGACAGAATGAAGAAGCTAAGCATGCTATCAGCTGCTGATGGTCTTTAGTGCGCTTCTCAGCTTACTCTAACAAAGCAGGAGAGGAAGAAGAGCTGGAAGGGATAAAGCAACAGAGGAGGTAGAGGAGTTGAGAAATGGGGCCTTTGGTAGTATGTCTGGAGGGCAGGGCCTGAACCTGGTTATTAGCCTAAGGTCTGCACACAGGGCAAGGACAATTTGTCCATTGAGCCCTGCTGAATGTGAAGCAGTAGTCTATACCTCCTGATCATCAGTGTTGCTTGAGCACCGAAGAAGGGTGGCCCAGCCTTTGGGGTGCAGTTGTAAAGATGTGATACAGTTTCCACGATCTCTCTCACCAGGAACTTCAGGGGTTAAGACTTCAAGACTATTTCGTGGTGAAACTCCTGAGATACAAAAAAATTAATTGTTACACAAGGACTAAGGCAGAATCAGGACTTCTGGCAACTACCTTCTTGCCTTCATCACTTACTTTATTCCTTATACTATACCACATGTAAAACCATCTTAGCTCCCTTAATCCCAATATATGTGAATTTTACAGCAGGAATAACCAGTGACTGAAGACATGAAAGATGAGTGGGGTCTTTTTTCATTGGATCTGTATCTCAAAAGGTTCTTTATTTAATAACTGAAGTCATGTGCATGGAAGGAATCTAGAAGATTAAGGTCATAATTCTCAACTCAGAGAACTTACTGGTCTATAGGCCAAAGAATGAAATACTTAGAACCCAGGACTGCCTTTTAGAAAAAAGATCAGGACTTATGATCCTTAAGGACAGTACAGATGATCCTTTATACTGGGATTAATAAACTCGTCCAAAGCTGAAAATATTTAGGTTGTAATGCATTCAATACACCCAACCCACTGAATGCTACAACTCTGTGACAGCTTGCCCTGCAGTATTAGCCATTTATTCTCACAACAGTGTGGCTAACTGGAAGATACCCTGTTACTTTCCAGAATCATGAGAAAAAGTAATACATATTGCTAGCCAGGGATCAAAGTTCAAAATGCGAAGTTTGGTTTCTGTTGAATGCATGCCACTTTATACCACTGTGAAACTGGGAAAATTGTAAGTTGAACAACTCCAAGTCTCTACCCATACTATAAATAGATAAAAAACCAAGGGTGAGAGACATCTTCCTGGTGACTCTACTATACGCCACATCATTTCCTTCAGCCTAGTTCCTAGGATGCCGCCGTTGCTGATCAAAATATATGAGAAACCATTTTCACGATGTCATAAGAAAGCAGCCCAGAAAAACCTTTGTTGTTGCTGCTGATGTTTTTTAGACAGGGTCTCATGTAGCCCAGGCTGGTTTAAAAGTCTCTGAAGAGGAGAATGATCTTGAACTCTCGATACTCTTGCCTCTCCCAAGTGCTGGATAATAGGTTGTGCCACCAGGCTTAGTTCTGCATACATACTGATTTAATTTTCATGGCATCCTTGTTCGGAATCCACATTTTTTAAATATAGTTCCCAAGTACTTCATCTTCAAACTAGACCAAATCAAGACAGGGCTGGGACAATAAAACCAATGCTTACAAGGTTAGAGCACAAGATGGTCTTTTCAAACGATGGCTAAAAAGCAACATAGGACCTCATTTTTCTTAGATTTTGTTTTTATGGATTAAAACTAGACCAAAGAAAGCTATTTGATAGAAACCTATTGCTGTAAGGTTGTAAAGCCAGCTTTTAACCTACCTTCTCGTTGAGAGGCTCGTGACATGTGTTTCTCAGATGAGTTTGAATCACTGTGATGACAAGGTGAACCAGAAACTCTAGAACCAGAAGAACTTGATGAAGTGGTCAAATCTTGAAAAGAAAACCAAACAATAAACCTAGAATAACTCTTACAGTATCTTTTAATTTTTTAATTATCTACTTGAACTTTTAATACATCTAAAATGTGCCAACAAAATCTCATGTAAACTGGACTAGAACTAAGAAAAAGGCAGACAGTTCTTGGTTCTATTTCAGGTCTACTTAAAACCTTTTTTTTTTTAAATATTTATGTATTATGTATACAATATTCTGTCTGTGTATATGCCTGCAGGCCAGAAGAGGGCACCAGACCCCATTACAGATGGTTGTGAGCCACCGTGTGGTTGCTGGGAATTGAACTCAGGACCTTTGGAAGAACAGGCAATGCTCTTAACCTCTGAGCCATCTCTCCAGCCCCTACTTAAAACCTTTTAAAAACCTTTCATAGTAAAGACTTGTGTGAAATAAGATAAAAAGCCACGCAAACATCTTTGCTTCTCTAACATTTCTAAAACAGAAGAAAAGATAGCTGCCTACTTGTTTGACAGTGAATATCAGACACCTGTGTGTTATGTTACTTCACACGGCCATGCTTCACCCTGCATTTCTGGCAGCTGCACACTTTTGGGGAGTCCCTGACAGACTGGTTTCCTGTGACATTTGCAACTAGAATCACCCATAAAAAACTGAACAGCTTTTTGGTTTTTCAGTCAAAAATGGACAACTTCAGGGATGTTATTCACACACCTTTAATCCTAATACTTCATTTCCAGATGCAGATGCAATATGATGTCTATCGGATAATACTGATATAATATAGCATTAAAGTTTTATGAGCCCCAGCTTCATTTAAGTTTACTGAAATCAGCAGTGAAAAAAAGAACAAGGCTTGGCAAAAGGACGCTCCAAGATGGGTCAGCTTGTGAGTGGACATGGAAGTGTAGGGTAGATTACAGACCTAGAGCTCTTGGAGTGATTGTAACCTAACATCCTAATAGAGGCACCCTGAGCCACCATTAACTTCGAGGCAGGGATGGTAATTCTCTGGCTAAGAGTCTTTCTAGAGGCACAGGTTAATGTTATTGTTGGTACACACAGATCATTGCCCATCCTTGGAAAGCCAAGAATAAGCTTCCTAAAGAACAGCTTTGATTTTCTGTCCTTTTCCCTGCTCACACACTTAGAACAAAACCTCTGTGGCTCAGAGTCTTCAGAAAATCTTACCTGAACTTGAAGTAGTTCTTCTTGCTCTCAAAATGGGATAGCTGCCTACTTCTAAAGACTTAGTTAAATCCAGATCGTGCAAAATCAAAAGATATCCAGAGGATGTTGAGATCAACATTTTAGAACAATCTGGTGTTAATCTCATTCGCATAAGAAAACGTGTATGAAAGAATTTCTTATGTGGACACCCATCTTCTGTGCACCTAAGAAGAAATCAGACCAACAAACCTAGTGTTACCACAGATAGGATGATTTGTAGTCCCAGTCAAATTGCTTTACTCTTAAAGCAGAACTGAGAGCCAATGAAAACCTTCCACACATATTTTATGCTGTTTTACTTTTACTACCTCACCTTAGTCTCCAACCCTTCTTTTGAGATCATTTTCTGAGTATACCGTCACAATTTTTAAGTAAAACTTTACTGAAGTAAACTTTCACTCATGCCTTTGACTCTCAAAGTTTCCCTGCGTATGGAGCGGAGAGGACAGTGGCTCCTCGACGAATGAGAAGACTTTCAGTGCTGCTACTCACCAGTCTGCTATCAGCCTGCTACTTAGGATATTTTTTCTCCACTTCCTTCGGCTGATCTTTTTGTCTTTAGAACCCTGCAATTTTACTTTGAGACATAAGAATTTAGATTTTTATTTATCTTTATGGAGATTCACAAGTTTCTAAATCTTTATATTATTCAAATATTCTGAAAATTTTAGTCATTATCTATATTGCCTCTCACCCATTTCCTCTATTCTTTTTTTTTTTAAGATTTATTTATTATGTATACAACATTCCTTCCCTGTATGCTTGCATGCCAGAAGAGGGTACCAGATCTCATTATAGATGGCTGTGAAACACCATGTGGTTGCTGGGAATCGAACTCAGGACCTATGGAAGAGCAGTCAGTGTTCTTAACCTCTGAGGCATCTCTCCAGCCCCATTTCCTCTATTCTTTTTGGTGATTGTAAAAATTGTGAACCATACAATAACCACAGAGAAAATGATGTGTGGTGGGTACACATGTGGAGGACAATCTACAGGAGTTGGTTCTCTCTTTACCATGTGGGTCCTAAAGATTAAACATAGGCTGCAGGCATATTGGCAGGTACCTTCACCCACTGAGCCACCTTGCCAGCCCATAAAACTTATTGAGAATTTTAAAATGAAGAGCATTACCCAAAGGGTGAATAGTACTAGTCCATTCAAAGGACTCTCTTTCAACTGTATCTTACTTTTGCTTCAAGCACTCAAGTCTTATATATGAGAATATGGGTAACTAGTTATTATGTTTTGTTTCTGTGACAGGGTTTCTCTGTGTTACTTTGGAGCCTGTCCTGGAACTAGCTCTTGTAGACCAGGCTGGCCTCGAACTCACAGAGATCCGCCTGCATCTGCCTCCAAAGTGCTGGGATTAAAGGCGTGCGCCACCACCACCTGGCACTAGTTATTATGTTTTATTCTCCCTATGTTGTCTCTCTGTCCTCCAAAAAAACTTCCTATTTATGTTTTGGCTACTAGTAGATTTTCTCATTAGATAGTTTAAGAGCAAGGGATTCAAGTCTCTGGGAACTCTGGGTACAGGGTCAGGTGAAATCATTTCTGAGGAAGCTCTCAGTGCTTTGGTCTTTGGGGTTGACAACTGAAAGAAACCCACTCAGTTACCTTGGCTTCAGCAAGGCATTGAAGCCCCAACTGTTTCTGGCATCCTCCAATATGGCACTATTTTCTATATTGCCCTTCTTACCAAAATAGAAACTTCAAGTAAAATGATGCACTGCCAATTAGAAGGGGTGGAGAATAGACCTTTAAGTTCTTAAATATTTCTCATTCAAACTTCCCCCTTAGCTACCCCCCTTCAGTACAGGATACCCAGAGTTCCCAACTCCTATGGTTTTTGAGGATTCTGGGTAAACTCAGTAAAGTCTTAAACTTTTCCCTCTGAAACTCAAGATTTAGGATTCTTTTAAAAAATTACTTTTATTTATGTGTGTGTCATCTGTGTGCAGGTGTGTTCGATCCCCTAAAGCTGTAGTTACTGGCAGCTGTGATCTACCTGATATGGTGCTAAGAAAACGCCGGTCTTCTGGAAGAGCGGTAAGGACTCTTAAACTCGGAACCATCTCTCCAGCCCGAGGATTTAACTTTCTTAAACTTCTTGAGTGAAACTGCCTAAACTGCAGTTCTAAATCAGTTGACATTCTTCTACCTGCCTCCCAGATTCTAAAATCTATTGTCAAGCTCCTTCTGTTTTCCTAACATTTTAAGTTCATGTCTGACCTACTACCCTAACCTCGGGGTCTCATTAAGTAGCCTGGACTATATTGGATCTTATTATGTAGACCAAATTGGAAATGAACTTGCTGTGATTCTACTGCTTCTGGGATTAGTGTAGTTTTTGAGCCTTCTTATCTATAGGTTTTATTTATCTCATAAAGACTTATATTTAGGTCTTACAATTAGCATAAAGACTATCCATTTTCCATGAAATTATATACTGTAGCTACATGTAGTTTTAGCACTTAAGAGGCTAAGGCAAGAGGACCTTGAATTAGAGACTAGCTTTTTCTATAATAATAAGTTCCAGGTCAGTCTTAGCGACTCAATGAAACCCCATCTCAAGATATATGTAACAATCTGGGTGTGATGGCACAGGCCTATAATCACAGCCCTCGGAAGGGTAAGGCTGGAGGATCAGGAGTTCAAGGTCATCCTCAGTTACCACGTAAGTTGGAGGCCATTGTGAGCTATAAGAGACCCGTCTCAAAAACAAAACCCCAACCACGAATCAAACAAATTAACTAAAAAAATTATGTATTTATATTTGTGAATACATATAAGTCTCTATATAAAACATATACACACACTACTTTATTTCAAAAATACTGGTAAAGATGCTTATATACCAACTCTGACAGAAAGACAAGTTCAAGGATAAATTGGTCTACAAAATGAGATCTGTCTCAAATTTTTTAAAAAAGAAAATCTTTTTAACTATTTGTAAGATACACTTACAATGGGAATATGCACAATTTGTACATTATCTTATACCTAGTAATCTTTAGTTGGTTTTGATGTTTTGTTTTTCTCAAAATACAGGGTTTCTCTATGTATCCCTGGCAGTCCTAGAACTCACTCTGTAGGCCAGGCTGGCCTTGAACTCAGAGATCCACCTGTCTCTACCTCTTGAGAGCTGGGATTAAAGGCATGTGCCACCACCACCCAGTTTTTATTTTTGATTAAAACATGGTATATACAATTGTATATGAAAATTGTGTATAATTCTGCTATACAACATGATTTTTCTTTTTTTGTGTGGCTAGGGAACAAACCTGGGGCTTGCACATACTAAACCTGTGCTCTACTACTAAGCTACATTCCCAGCCCACGTGTTTTGAAATGTCTACATTGTTAAGCTAATAATTAATTTACTATGTATTACTTTATTTACTTTCAGGAATTCTTGTTTTGTTTTGTTAGTCTCTCTATATAGCCCAAGTTGCTCTGGAATTCACTATGTAGACCAGGCTGGCCTTGAACTCACAGAGCTATGGCTGCTTCTGCCGCTCAAGTGCTCTCAAGATGCATATGGCATCTCTCAAGGATTTTCAAGTATTATACACTGTTATTAACTATGGTTACTATGTTATATAATCTATACCTCTTGCATTTCTTCTCCCTAATTGAAATTTTGTATCTGCTGACCACTCTCTCCCCTCTGCACCAGTTTTCAGCTCCTTAGATAATTTACCACTATTCCAATCATTGCTTCTCCAATTCTACTTTTTTGATCTGTCATTCCATGTTTGGTTTATTTCACTTTAAGATGTGTCTACTAGGCTCATCTATATTGCTAAGAAAGATTTCCATATTTTAAGGGGCTGAAGAACATATTGTAGATATACCGTATTTTAAAATGTACACGTCTGTTGGGTGATGTACAATGAGTGACTGAGTACAAGCCTTTAGCAGCTGACTTCAGCTCCTCTGGATGTATACCTAGTAGAGAGACCACTAGGTTATTATGGGAGTTTGTTCTTTCTGTCTTTCTGAGGAAATTCCATAATTTATATCTAACAATTTTGGTCAATGCTTACTAATTCTGATTATTTCTCTGAAGAGTTTCTAGGATTTTTGTATAGACAAGTGGCTGGAAAGCTATGACTGTGGACCAAACTTGGTCCACTGGCTGTACATGAACATAGCCACATCAACTCATGTACTGTTCCTGTGTGGCTGCTCAGAAACCACACACTACCAAAAACTAAAATATTTATTACTTGGTCTTTGACAGAAAGTTGTCTATACTTGAGAGCCACATAATCTGTGATCAATATTAAATTTCCAGTCCATATATACACATGACTTTTCTTCTAGTGCACCACCTCACCTATGGCACTGATTACAACAGGAGCAGCGGTGGGCATCTTCTTTCCTGATTTTATAGAGAAATTTCTAGAGGCTTATCACTGAATACTGTCCTGAGTACTGAGAGGTCACGCAGTTAGCAGAGTGCTTGTCTAGCATGCACTCTTGTGTCTGATCCCCAACAGCACATAAACTGGCTATGGATGCACACACCTGTACTCCCACAACTCAGCAGGTAGAGGTAGGAGGGTAAGAAAGATTTCAAGGTCATTTTCTGCTACACACAAACAAAAACAGTTTCAGGCCTGAGCTAGAAAATTTGTCTCAAAAACAAACAAACAAAAAACAAAACAAAAACCCAAAAAACAAAACTGAATATTCTGTATACTTTGGTGAATTTCCACTTCTGTTTACAATCATTTGGTTTTCATAAAGTTTTATTGAGGAATAATTAACACACCATAAAATGGCTTCATTTTAAGTGTACAGTTAAATGATTTAGAATTGTGCAAACAATACACTATAGCTTTATAACATTTTCAGCATCTTAATAGTCTTCCTGACCATCACTGGCAATCCTTCCTTGTTCCAACTCCTGGACCTAGACAACCACTAATCTACTTTTTATCTCCATTATTTGCCTAGTTTATATACATACTCTTACAATAAGGGCTTTTTTTGAAAAAAAAAAACTGCTTCTTTTTACTTATGATATTTAGGGGTTTATCCCTGTTGTAATACACATTACTATTTGGTTCTTTTCCTTTTGTGTGTGGTTTTTTTTTTTTTTGTGGGTTTCTCTGTAGCTTTTTGAAGCCTGTCCTGGAACTAGCTCTTGTAGACC